TTCAGAAACAGTGCTGAGTCATATTTCTCCAGTAAATCTGTTCTCTCTCTCTCTCTCTCTCTCTCTCTCTCTCTCTCTCTCTCTCTCCCTGCAAACACGTTCAAATGCCATTTAAGGCGTTGTCAAGGGAAAGGAGAGTGTTTTCTTGTGTGTGTGTGTGTGTCATCTCTGATAGGAGGGTACAGATAGGACACAAACTGATCCAAAAGAACTGATGAACCAGAGCTTGACCTTTGGATGCATGATGTAACAAATAAAAGCGGACAGGCATGATTTTGAATGAGAATGGTTTGGCCAAATCTGACTGTGGTTAGTATTATTTATCACTGCATGTCATTGCACAATAATTGTGTTGACGATGCACATTTAAAGGTGCAGTAGGAGATCTTGGAAAATGCTAACTTTAGCCTGATAGCACTGAAAGCGAACGTCCCACCCTCCCTGCAATCGCCGTCCAAAGCCACGCCCCTTAACGCATTTACGCTCACAGACCAGAATACCAGAGACAACATTACTACAATAGGCTACATCAACAATTCCAGCCCATGTTCCAAAGTGAGGTAAACTTCAACGGATTTCCCCTGCTCAGGGAGTAGGGAGCAATGAACACTGTGTAGGGATCATATCGATCAGAACACAGTTCATGCATGTAGCTCACTTCTAACGAGCTGGCGCGAGAACTGGATTAACCGCTGGGCTACATCATGTGTCATTCACTGGTGAGAAAACTTTAAAAGTACTACAATACCAGGAAGGAAGATCGGGTTGTTGATGTTTGTCTGCCATTATCGCTCTGTCTGCACAGCGTGCGTGAACGCGCTGATGACGTATCCTGTCTGCGCGAACCCGGTGCGCAGAGGTATGATAATACATACGTTGGCAGACAGGTAGGAAAGCATATTAAAACGCTCGGACCGAGACTTTCAACCAGCATAGCAAAAAAAAAAATTCTGAAGACAATCACCTATTGCACCTTTAAATCCACAGCTCTGGCTCACTAACACAGGCTTTAGCAGAATCAAGTGCTATACTGAGAAACAGTAAATTTAGCCCTGTGTGTGGCGATCAGCTGTGCTGGCAGTCTGAGTTTAGAGATAGTAGATGATGCGTGTGTGAGTGTATATATAGTATGTGTGTGAGCGATACAGTCAACGTAGTAGCTGCATGTGTACTGTACCTGCATGCTAGAGATCTGGCTTTGCTTTGGCATTTCTGAAAGAAAGATGCTGTTCTGTTGAACTTTCTATTCATCAATGGTTCTGGTTTCTAAATAATATGCAGCGCAAGTGTTTTCAACACAGATAATAATAAATGTTTCTTGAGCAGCAAATCAGCATATTAGAATGATTTCTCAAGGATCATGTGACACTGAAGAGTGGAGTAATGATGCTGAAAATTCAGCTTTGCATCACAGGAATGAATTACATTTTAAAATATATTCAAATAGAATCAAATAAAAGCAGCACTAGTGAGCATATACATATACAAATGTCATGTACAGGTGCATCTCAATAAATTCGAATGTCGTGGAAAAGTTAATTTATTTCAGTAATTCAACTCAAATTGTGAAATTCGTGTATTAAATAAATTCAATGCACACAGACTGAAGTAGTTTAAGTCTTTGGTTCTTTTAATTGTGATGATTTTGACTCACATTTAATAAAAACCCACCAATTCACTATCTCAACAAATTAGAATATGGTGACATGCCAATCGGCAAATCAACTCAAAACACCTGCAAAGGTTTCCTGAGCCTTCAAAATAGGCTACACGATCATGGGGAAGACTGCTGATCTGACAGTTGTCCAGAAGACAATCATTGACACCCTTCACAAGAGGGTAAGCCACAAACATTCATTGCCAAAGAAGCTGGCTGTTCACAGAGTGCTGTATCCAAGCATGTTAAATGAAAGTTGAGTGGAAGGAAAAAGTGTGGAAGAAAAAGATGCACAACCAACCGAGAAAACCGCAGCCTTATGAGGATTGTCAAGCAAAATCAATTCAAGAATTTGAGTGAACTTCACAAGGAATGGACTGAGGCTGGGGTCAAGGCATCAAGAGCCACCACACACAGACGTGTCAAGGAATTTGACTACAGTTGTC